AAGGGGGGAGCAACATGCATCCCGTTAATTGTGAGAGGTAGCTGTGCTTGCCCGAGTCCTCTGTATAGGCTTAGGAGAAAAGGTAGGTAGATAGTGAAAGGTGAAATTAAAAAAAGGAAAAAAGTGGAAAGCTCGGTGTGCCGAGGCAGATAGTCGACCACAACTGGGTGGATGGTTGCGGATAGTCGATCACGGCAGCCATGTCGTATGCTGGCCGTTGGATGGTGCAACATTAGGTCCTCAGTACCAAATGCACTTCACATTGGTCGTCGCCATAGTACAGGTCTTCCCCCTAACGTAACGCGCCCTGATAATCAACGTATACAAGCCACGTTTCCTGTCCGGTACAGCCATAATGACGGTTCGTTGAGCTCGGCGGAAGACACTACCGGTAGTCACCAAACAAGAGCAGGTGGGGATGCATCTTCCCACACGCTACTGTTCACAGTACTGATGTGTGTATTTTATTTTGCCGCTTCTCCGATGCATTCGCGCTTCCTTTCGCGTCGTGATCGATGGGGAGGAGTCACCTTTGTGTTGTGCACTCAGTACCGAGAACCTAAATTAAATGCCGGTCCAACGGTCCTGATACGAGAACGCCCGGGGCTAGGTCCCACTAGCCAAGAGAATTGGATTTAAGGGCGGAATCTGGACGTATTTATGCCGAAGTGCAGGAAATCTCGACTGGACTGCTTTTCTGCATCTACGTGGAAAACATGTTCAGATTCAGGCGCTGAATCCAATCCTCTTTGCCAGCGGGACCTTGGCCCCTGTCATTATCGCTGTATCTACACGGAGGTCATCCCCCAAACCGCAAAGTTTAATGCACCTGGGTTTTCTCCAACTCCCTGTGCATCAGGGAGAGGTTGGATCAAAAAAAAAAAAAAAAAAAAAAAAAAAAAAAAAAAAAACTTCCCTTGTTGTGCAACTACGATCAACCACTTCGCTGCTCCGATGCATCTATCCAAATTTTCCGCCCCACTGTTCCATTTTTTTTATTTTTTTTTTTGTACCATACATTCATAAGGGGTTTGAAGCATCTGGTAAAAAATGTGACCGAAATCAGAGGGGAAAACAAGAAGAAAAAGAAAAAACTTATCGTGTTCAGGCTTGTTGTTCTCCATCCCTTCACCTTTATCCCCCCCCCCACTTTTTTCCCTTTTTTTTTGTAGACTGCACTCTGCTGCAGCTTGTCAATTTGAGACCTTTGCCGACTCTTTCCCCCTGCTGCTCACACTGCAAGGTGAGCAAGCAAAAAGAGGGGGAGGTGGCAACTTGTAACAGCCCCGCAATGATCACGGGGGGAGACACTGAAAGTACTCTGACTTTGGATTTATTTATTTTTAACTGATTCAATTTGATTGATTGATTGATTGAATGGCTGGGGGGGGGGGTCGCCCCCTCGCCCCGACTGCACACACACACACACACACACACACACACACACACACACACACACACACACACACACTAGCACACGCACACACACTCTCGCGCGACTGCACACACACACACACACACACACCTGTCTCTTATACACATCTAGATGTGTATAAGAGACAGCACACACACACACACACACACACACATGAACACACGACCCGTTGATCGGAACTCAACGAGAAGCCCCCGTTATACCGTTCAACGGGGATTCAACTCGGGCCTCACGGCCATTCAACGGGTTCAACGGAGTTGAATAAATCCCATTCCGAGTTGAATGGACACACAGGATATGAGTCAACGCCTTGAGAAGAAGCTTGACGAGCTAGGTGCCTCAATTAAAGGAAAAAGCGCCGGTCAAGGTTCTACTGCGGGTGGGGCGGAGGACGAACTAGCTAGGCTTAAGCGAAAAAATGAGGAATTGAAGAAGAAGATAGGTGCATTTATGAATCAAACGGGCGATGATAAGGTCATGTATTTTCAAAGGAGATAATGGACCTGCCCAAGCAAGTGACGGACAAGCAAGTCAACGAGGACGCGTTATTCGCGTTGAAGCAAGAGATTAATGAGATGAAGCTGTCGTCTTATGCAAAGGTGAATTTGGAAAAGGAGGTTGTTGGGCTGAAGAAGGAAGTGAGCCTGTTGCGGGGACGGAATGAACAAGCCACGACGGAGGCTAATCAGTGGAGGGATGAAGCGCTAAGACCTGTTAATAAGAGGGGGAGTGTTGCTGTGAACACGCCTGAGGGACCGGTACGAGGTACGCCGAAGCCTCGATGGACCGATAACGTACCAGAAGTCGACAAGTGGAGAGAGGAGTATCGCAACTTGCGTAACTTACACCAATTGGCTAATATAGAAGCGGAAGATTTGAAGAAGAAACGCGTTGAGGCTGAAGTGAAACGGATGGAGGCAGAGCAGCAGGTCAAGAAGCTTGAAGAGAAGATGAGCAAATTGACTGCGAGCGGAGAGAAAACCAGGATGGGTGAGGGAACTAATTTAAAGGAACGACTTGAAGAGGTGGCTCTTCGATCGGCACGCAAAGGAGTCAAAGCCACGCCGAACAGATTTGGCGGGAAAGCTTTCGTGGCGGAAGCTTCTAATACGGCGACTGAGGTCAATGATCGGGAGGAGTTTATTGAAGAGGAGAAGAAAAAGCTGAGAATGTTAAGAAAGGCTGGGCTGGAACCGCTGTGCAAAGAAGCGGGCATCAAAGTTGGGAGGGTTGAAGAAACCATTTGTGAGCTGGTACAGTATCGGGCTAAGTTGAGATTTGGATCTTTATCGCGAGAAGGTGTGGCTGCGAAAGAAGCCTGCTCGTTTGTCGATGTGGAGGATGACACTTCCAAGGAGACGCGTGATGGAGAGAATGTTGATGAGAGATTCGTCGAGTTATAGGAGGTCATCCCGGACGTGGCGAAACTCTGGCAACTTGCGAATGAGTGTAAGATTAAGAGACACCCTGTTAGATTGTTTGCTTCTACATCTGAGTTTTCTTTCGACTCCTCTACTGATTCTGCCCTTCCCTCCATCGGTTTGCCTTCCTCCGCCACAAATTTCTTGGTGCAATTTTTTTTCCCTGCCTCATCCTCTTCTTTCTTCCTTCAAGATAAAGGTTTCAATGCTTTCTATCGCCTGGTGGTTATTGGTTTGATCTTGCGTGATGAGATCCCATGTGCAGGTAAACTGAAAGGGTATCTGCTGTATCTGTTGACTAGTGGGTACGATCTAGAGAGCTGCGAAGGATCGACGATGTATGTACTGTTGTCACCTTGGTGTAAACACATATATGTCGGGTCAACCACTAGATCTCTTCCAGTTAGGTGGGGTAAACATGCTTATCGCGCTACGAGTCTGGGAGTTATCGAGAGGGATAAACGTAATCATCGACTTTACTCTTGGTTGAGACGTGATCGTGTGGGACAATATGTATCCATTCCACTCTTCTGTTGCGCGAAGGAGGATGTGCTTAGTCTGGAGAAATATGTGATCGGTCTTATGAACCCCTACCTCAACAGTCGTGATACTGCCAGGAAGGGACGTCGTCATAGGTTGAGGAAGAAGGAACGATTACGGAGGAAGAAGCGCGATGGAAAGATCATTGAAGGTTGTGTGGCGAGTACTCATTTGGTTTTTCACTCTTCTGTGGGTATTGTCTCTGCACACCTCTCGTCCATTCTCGATTTCTGTATTGGTACGAAAATTTCTACTGTTGAGATTACATGTATCGGGGGAGACAAGATCGCTGAAAGTTGGAAGCTCATCAAAAGGAAATATGGTTCTTCTCTGGTTCGACTTGGGGATAATATTGAATTACTAAAGAAGAGTAAAGGTATGTTTCGATCTGGGATGAGTCTATCGGTCATTGTGATAGTTCCTTTCCTGTCTAAATCTCTGATTCTCAAACCCGCTCTTGCTGAACTCCTATCCAAACCTGCATCTCGCCGGGATCTGATGTCTTGGGACTTTCCTATCCAGGACCTGGTCCAAGCCTTTTCGGCTATCCGTGCCTGTTCTGAGAAGAGAAGTAGGTACTCTCTGAGGCTCATCGTTTTCGGAGTCATAAGGAGAAAGTTTGGCGTTAGCATAAAAAAACGGTTGACAGTTCGTGTTATGTATGAGCAAAATTTGAGCAAGGTGGGGATTCGGTCTGTCTACTCGAAGATATTGATGAGTGCTGATATGGATGAGGAGTGGAAGAGGATGGTGGTAAGACACATGAGAGTCGTTTGGCTCAAAAACAAGAGCGTAGGAGATTTTTTGTTTAATTTTCGCTCCGCTGCACGCGAGGTGCAGCTCGAATGTGAGTGTCAGAGGCTGGCGGTGGATTTTCCTCGGGTAGATGGCCATGTTCATTTCCGTATGAATGACTAGGAGACGGCGCCTGTCTGGTTACGGAATAATAAGAATGTCGTACGTCCGTCAAAGACTGATGTCATTGGCAGATTAAAGACGCAGATTTCGGCTTCTATGCTTGTTTTGGATTTCGAGGTTCCTGAAATTCACCAAGGGGATTTGGTTAGTTGTGTGACCGGCGTGAAAGAGGACTACACTGACTGCACCGAGGAGAATATTAGGCTCTGGGTGGACAAGTTGGAAGGCTTGGTGCGCATGCCTATCGACCACAATCCGGGCCATACCTTGATTTGTTGCCCAGTACGATATCAGAAGGGGATGAACAAGTTATTCTGCTGCAATCACGGGCTGACGATGATTGACCAGTTCGAATCATCTCTGATCTCGCATGTTAGGGACTACTACAAGGAGGGGCTGCAGAAGGTTGCTTGCTGGAACGCGAAAGGTGAGTTTGGCAGGGTGTACGTTATTCCGAAGCACAAGGATGTGCACCGGTGGAGACCCATTTGTCCTTCCTTTTCAGAGTGTTATGTCAGGGATAGTCGGAAAATCTCACGTGCGGTCAATGTGTTGGTATGGGAATTGCCCAGTAAATGGCACTTTAATCTGAAGTGCACTGATCTGTTGGTGGAGTCTCTGAACGTGATTAATAAAGATATTAAGAGAGGGGACGCCTTGCTAACGGCTGCTTTCGACATGAAGGAGATGTTTTGTAATCTTCCGCACGCCTCGATCTTGAAAGCCCTGGATTGGGCAATCGACTACTGGGATGGACGTGGAGTGAAAGGTGTGCTTCTTAAAAATCATGGGAAAGAAGCAAAGTTGCGTAGAGGAAAGAAGCAGGAAGGGTGGGAGTCCCTAAACTTTGTTATTATCAGGAAGTTTGTTATGTTCGAGTTGAGCCACACCTTGTTCAAAGCCAGTGGGATGATTCTGCGACAGGAGGTCGGAATCCCCATGGGGAAACCTTCAAGCCCAGCTATTGCCTGTCTTCTGTGTGTGTTTTTTGAGTTTTCCTTTTTATCTGCGCTGGGGAATGACCGTCGGTTAGTCCATGGTATCCGTCTTATTGACGATGTGTCTATTTTTGTGAAGTATAACATTGGGGATAATGCCTCGCAGAAGCTGGCTGAAACGATCATGGCTGACTTTGAACGCTGTTATGATGCGAACGTTGTGCTGGAATGCACTAGCAGGACTAGCAGCTGGGACTTTCTGGGATGCGTGGTCAAGAATCTAGGGTGGCCGATTGGGGTTAGATGTGCAGCGGTTCATAAGAACCAGCGATCCATTTAGGGTAAAGGGATCTGCTTCCAAAATCTGCAGGATGAATGTTCCTACGTAAATAGGCAACAAAAGATGGTTGTTGTTGGCTCATTTTTGCATCGGGCGAAGAGGTTCACCAGCTTGCCCGTTGCTGTTGTTTCCTTTCTTTTTGCTTTGAAAGTTGAATTGCGTTTGAGGGGTTGCTCTGATGAAATTTTTGATAAATCTCTGATGAATTTCTCTATGAAGTTTGGAGGGGAATGGGATCATTGAGTTCGATTGTTAACTGGGTGGGATAATTTTTTTTCCGAACGTAGGAGGTTGGAAAGAACCCTGCGATTAAGGTAAGGGGTATCTTATGGAGACTTGCATTTTTTTTCCAGGCCCCATGGTTATTTCCAGATCCTGTGTTATTGTTGCGGAAGTGAGGGGGCATCCTATGGAGACTTGGGCCTTCTTTCTAGGCCTTATGGTTATTTCTGGATCTTGTGTTATTGTTGCGGAAGTGAGGGGTATTTCTTTGGGCCCAGGCGCTTTCCAGGTCCCATAGGGAGTTTCTGAAAGCCGGTTTATACCCTGTTTGCTCTGGTTTGGACCTTTCTTGATATGGCGATCTTTTCTCTGCTTTGGGCAAAGAATAGGCACGTAGGCTCTAGAGTCTTCTGGTACTTTGGCGTTTTTCGATCCACTGTTTCGGTCTTTCTCTCGCTGTCTTTCTACTCGTCACAATCTGGAATTCTAACTCTTCTTTCAGCACTCTGGCGGTTCGATCATGGTACCGGCTATTTGGAACTATCTTTTTGTTCCCTCTGTGGGTTACTGTGAGGTTCCTCTTTCCCGCTATTGATCTTTTCTTAAATAGGGACTTCGATACGTCAACAGACACTCTATCGTGACATGGGACCCCTGATGATTCCGGTCCGGCACCGGATGAAACGTGTAGGGTCGTCGCCGGAAGAGCTCGACCAGGTTTTTGACGATGATGGACACAACGTCCTTTTTTGGTTCTAGCTCGATAGGCTGGATGTATTGTTGAATCTTTTAAGCCTATCATGTTACGTTCGGGAGACTCTGACGTGTCTACTCTCTATCCTCCCTTGCCTACTTTCTGCTGTCTTTTTCTCCTATTCCTTCCTCTTCTCTCTTTCTTTCTCCCCCAGGCCGACACTGGTATTGGCTTTACATGATCAGTAAAGTGCTAACCAACACACTCATGCACTCATAGAGACGGTCGACACCCAGCAATCCCTATCATCGCGCTTGGAAGCGCACAAACACACGTAGTCATAAGGCCCTCCCAGATAAGGAGACATCCAACATCCATAAACTCTCATATCACAACATGCATACAACAAAATACTCATACATTGAGACATTGCACACATCACACGGGACAAAGCAGCAATGGAGATAAAAGTGAGCTCCTTAATTTACAAAATTTCTCATTTGATTGGCCGCCATGAGCCCATCCCCCAATTCCTCAGAACCACTGACAACCATAGCCACAAGGCCTTGCCGCTGTCGGCATCCGATCTCCACCGCCGCTCAGTCCCTCCGACTGTCTTACCCCAAGTCTATCGCTAAGTCCGCCCACGTTGTCACTCCGCCCGTCACTTGGGCTCGCCAAGCCTGTTCGACGCTGCGGACCTCGCGCATAGCTCGCATAGCATTGCAACCGAGATCAACAGAGACTCAGAGAGCGAGAGAAAAGTGTTGCGAGAATTTATACCGCGGAAGGCGGCGGAGAGACAGCGTAAAGCACGAGGTGTAAATGAGCAGGAAAGAAGAAGGGCAGAGGTTCCAAAAGGATCGAAAGGGGTGAGCGGAACGATCTGCGTGATTGGGGTCCAAGCTGGGCGCACCTTCCGCTCTCACCACATTGACCCGACCATCCGTACTTCACTCGAGGGAAGACGAAGAGGCATGCAAGAAGGGAATGCGCGGTAAAAAGAGAAGATGGCGCGGGGATGCAAGGCGGGAGAAAGGGTCTATGCGACGCGCAATAATTTGAAAAACAGCCGCGTGCGCAAAAATTCAAAATTCTAAAATTCCTACCCACGCCAATTCCCAACTTTTTTTTTATTTTCCTGGCGTGGACGCTAACCGTCCACACGAAGAAAAGGCCATCAGAAAAAGAAAAGAAAGATAGACCCTGTTCTTCCTGATCATCTAAAACCCGCACTTCGAGGCTTACGTGGGATTTTCCCTTAAGGGTAAGGGGAGTCACTGAGTACGGATCCTGGCTTGTTACAAGGAAGCAAACTTGAACTGTATCCATAGTGATATTGGTCCGTTGATTGATATTGTCACTAAAGATCCAAGGGTGCGTGGT